ATTTTTTGTGTTATTATTTCATAAAACAAAATTAAAATTTAAAAAATAATTTGTCACGACCCAATTTTTTCACCCTCGGGAGTCGTGATGGCGCCTACTAGTGAAATCTAGGCAAGCCGACAATTACAAATTTTATTAACCTTTTTCCTTATCTTTTAACAATTTCACAAGTTAACATCTGATCAACAACAGAATAAAAGGTGTGGAAGACGAAATTCAACAATTTAACTAATTAAATACTAGTACAAAATCCAAAATACAACTCCACTCAGAACTGATGTCACAATGTCACGGATCATCTATGAATACTACAAACAGTGGTCTAAATAGAAAAAATACAAGTCTGTCTCTGAAATAAATAAAAACAGAATGGAAAGGATAGAAGGGGATGCCAAGGCCTACGAACATATGCAGGACTAATTCGGGACTCCGCTGGACTGAAGGCATCAACCTCGCTATGGTCCAAAAGCTCCAATACCGGGATCTGCACATAGTGCAGAGTGTAGTATCAGCACAACTGACCTCATGTGCTGGTAAGTGCCAAGCTTAACCTCGGCGAAGTAGTGACGATGCTAGGACAAGACTACCAAATAAACATGTACAGTTAAATCATATACGGCAAATAATGATAACATAAACTAGCAGTTAAAGATGGGAAGGGGGACATGCATAATTTCAGTAAAGAAACATAAAGAACACCATAATTTCATGTCAGCGAGAATAAGGAAAACAGTAACGACTCAATATTCTCTTTTATTCTTTCTTGTTGTGGCGCGCAATCCAATCTCAATCATATAATACTGTTGCGTCGTGCAACCCGATCCCAATCATATAATACTGTTGCGGCATGCAACTCGATCCCAAATCATGTAATGATGTTGCGGCGTGCAACCCGACCCCACCTATCCTCCCTTATTACTCCTTGTTGCGGTGTACAACCCGACCCCATATAATAATGTTGCGGCGTGCAACCCCATCCCCATGTACAAATCAATATCAATCACAAAAGAATCCCGGCAAGGGAACAATAATATAACAACAATATCCCGGCAAGATAGATAATATCATAAGCATTAACATCCCGACAAGGAAAACAATATCATAAACCATAACATCCCATCAAGGGAAACAATATCATAAACAATTACATCCCGACAAGGGAATCAACAATATATCTCATCTCGTTTCCATAATCATTTCACAACCTAAGTCTCAACTTGAGCCAATGCTCCATAATGGTCAATTACCAAGAATACTTTCATAAGCCTTGTTCAACATTTAAAATCATCATATCAAGTATGGACAATACATAACAGAGTCATAACAATCATAATATAAGACTCACGAGCATGCTTGACACCAATGTATAGATACTCGTCACCATACCTATATATCATACTCAACACTTAACACATAGCAAATAAGACCACAACTCATATTCCCTCAAGATAGGATTAGACCAAATATTTACCTCAATTCAACGAACACAATCAAGCCTCAACTACCGCTTTACCTCTCGATTCCACCTCCAATTTGCTTGTATCTAGTCATAATTTACTTAATGATATCAATAAATGCTAAATAGATCAATTCTAATGCATGAAAATAGGTTTTCTAATGATTTTTCCAAAAATTCAAAATCCACCCCGGGCCCGCTTGGTCAAAACCCGAGGTTCGAACCAAAATTCGAGCATCCATTCACCCACGAACTCAAATATATAATTTGTTTTGAAATCAGACCTTAAATCGAGGTCAAAATCACCAAAATTTGAAGATCCTAAGTTCTACCCAAAATCACCCAATTTCCAATGAAAACCTCTTAATTTTGAAATGAAATCATGTAAAAAAAAAAAAGGATTAGATTGAAAGAAATAAGTTAGAAATGACTTACTAATGATTTGGAAGAGTTTGTGCCCTCGAAAAATCACCCAATGTTATTTTAGAGTTTGAAAAGTTGTAAAAATAAAGAAGAGTCCCGTCTGAAATCTCACTTATCAGGTTCGGATGTCGCAATTGCGACCAGGGGTTCGCAATTACTAACCCTTCAAAAGTCTGCTATCTTCGAATTCGCGAAGTATTCGTCACATTTGAGACTCCTGAGGATTCCTGCCATCTCCGCAATTGCAAAGGGAATGTCGCATTTGCTACTACTGGGATTTTCTGAAGGTTTCGCATTTGCGAAGAAATGCTCGCAAATGCGAGCAATGCTAGCCAGGGATTACTTCGCAATTGCGATCAGCCCCTCGCAATTCCCAAGCTATCAGACTTCGCAATTGCGATCCCTGATCTCGCAATTGCGAGATCAGAGGCCAACACCAGACTTGCAATACTTCAACAATTTTCCTAAGTCCAAATACACTTCGCGGCCTATAAAAACTCACCTGATCCCTCGGGGCTCCAAGCCAAACATGCACGCAAGTCCAAAAATATCATACGGACTTGCTCGTGCGATAAAATCATCAAAATAACATCAATAACTATGAATTAAACCTCAAATTCATGAAATCACTCAAGAACATTGAAATTCCTGTTTTCTCAACTATATGTCTGCTTTATAGCAAACGAACTCCGATTCTTACCAAATTCCACAGATCCAACCAAATTATTATTTTAAACTTGTATCGGACTCCGAAACCAAGATGTGGGCCCGATACCATCAAAAAATCGCGTCAATTCACTTCTAAAAGCCTTTACATTTTCTAGCAAACAATTTTCTTTAAAAATTCTTTTCTCGAGGTTGGGACCTAAGAATTCGTTTTCGGGCACATGCTCAAATCCCATATTTTTCTACGGACCCTCCGGGACCGTCAAATCACGGGTCCGAGTCCGTTTACCTAAAATATTGATCGAAGTCAACTTAAATTTTAAAGGCAAAATTAGCATTTTCCTCAAATTTCACATAAAAGCTTTCCGAATATACGTCCGGACTGCGCGTGCAAATCGAGGTAAGACAAAAAGAGGTTTTCAAGCCTCGAGACACAGTTTAGATTTCTAAAACAAGAGATGACATGTCGGGTCATCACATAATTATAAACTATAAGCATATATTTTATTCACATATATATTTACTAACAAATAATTATAAGCTATAAGTATAATCTTTATAAATACTTATATTAACTAATTTCTTTTAATAGACTATAAGCATATGATTTAGTCACACATATATATAATTAATCAATCATAATAAACAAATAAAGGTATATATATATATATAAGACATTTATTTTATTCGAATTCCACATTTCGTTTTATATATTTATCCGTTTTATAACTAATTACAAATCACCTAATTAATAAATATCGGTCAAGACGTTTACCTTTTGTGTTCATCTATCTAAGTTAATTTTCTAAGTTATAATTAAGTGTATGAGTCATTTCACACACTAACACACACACACACATACATTATATTGTAATTGATGATCAATCACATAAATTACTACGCACGAAAACTTGATCAATCGATGAATTGGTAAACTAATATTATTCTATATTGAATATATTTAGTCGATTGTTATATTAATTCGTTTACTTAATGCTAATAGTTTCTTTCATTTATTTAATTTGTGATACATATATACATGTCAAAGAAGTTTAGTATTATTCTATATTTCATTCATTCATAACTAATAACGCATGATATAGATTAATCGATATAGGTCGAGACATTTTATTTTTAATATTCATTGATGCATCTAAGTAAGTTATAAGTCGATGAATCAATTTATAAATAGATATATTTGATGATGATCAATTATATATGCTAATTAGATTATTGCTTCTTCACAAGTCTATCCCCAAAAAAATATGACCCTGTAGCCCTAGCACTTCGCGCTCTTAGATGCGGCTATATATATATATATATAGACACACACACACACACAAACACATTTCATTGTACTAGTTTAACTATGTATAGCTTGTTATAGTATATGTTAGTACATTCATTATTTGTATTTCAAAATAAAGTGTTAATGGATTATATTTAAATTATTTAGATAGTAAATTACAAATTTTAATGTGATTTAAAAGTTTTACCATGTTTGACCATGTTTGACCTATGAACCGACCGAAGTTGGTTGGTTATTTTCCAGAAATTACAGCTACCGACCAAAGTTGATCGGTAACTTCAACTATAAATTTTATAAAAATATTTTAAATAATAATATAATTATTAATATTTAAAAATGTGGGTCCACCTAACCGATCGATGTTGGTCGATAATCAAAAAAGTTCTTTGACTAAGCAAGTTTGATCATTGCATTCAAATGTTTGACCAATATACCGACCGATTTCGGTCGGTATGTAATTTAGAAAAAAATGTAAAATATTTTTGTGGTAGTTTCCGTCCGCCTTGGACGGTTTTTTGGTCGCTTTGGTTGACCGACCAATGTTGGTCGGTAGGGCTCAGTCGGATTTTACCGAATTTCTACTAGTGAAACCCAATAAGTTTGAAGTTGACCGAAAGTAGGTAGGCTTGCAAATTCTGTTTGCGAAATGGATATAACTTCAATTGTAATCCCAAAATTGGGTATAAATAATGCAAATGACAAACCAATAAATGTTGCGTTGGGGTTGACAACGGCCAAACACCCGCCTTCTCCCCCTACCACAATTTTGAAAAAAATATATATAAAAATTAAATAATAAAGACGATTCCTTGATTTAATGGAGAAAGAGGTAAGGCAGATGGGCAGTGTGCAAACAATTTGTTGGAAGTTTTTTGGGGAAGGTCACGAAATGGGATTTCGTCTGTTACATTATTTTAAGAAATATAAAACATGACATCGAAAGCATGTTGGTGTTAGTTCCATTTTCTGTTGTATATTTGTTCCATACAAACATCACTTCCAGCTGTCGTGGCCTAATTCGATTTGTCATCGATATGCGACATGTCGCATTACGATTGGTGGAAGTAAGAAGTTAGTTCCCCAGGCCCATCCCTAGTATATATTCTTCCTCATATGCCATATAGTTCATTCTACTAATGTCAATTTTGTTCATTATTTCTCTATGTAAGATTCAACTTTTCCAAAAAATTACCAAATTTGGAGTAAATATTGTATGAAAAAAATTGAACGATTCGATGGAGAGCACCGGTTTGATGTCCGGTTCGAGCCACCTTCAACTTCCACCGGGGTTCCGGTTCCACCCGACCGACGAGGAGCTCGTGGTTCACTACCTCAAGAAAAAGGTAGCTTCCGCTCCTTTGCCGGTCAAAATCATAGCTGAAGTTGATCTTTACAAATTCGATCCATGGGAATTACCGAGTAATTATTACTTTCTTTCTGTTTTATTTTATGTGAACTTCTTACCTTTTCAATCTTTTTGGAAAAATAAGTGCATATATTTTTGTAGCCATTTAAAAGTTTTTTTCTTTTTTCAACTCCGTATCTGGTCATATGTAAGTTTTTGATTATTTTTATAGGTAAGGCGAATTTTGGGGAACAAGAATGGTATTTTTTCAGTCCGAGAGATAGAAAGTATCCGAACGGGACGAGGCCTAATAGGGCGGCGACTTCAGGTTATTGGAAGGCTACTGGAATAGACAAGCCAATATATACATGCGGCGGTACTAAAAAGATTGGTGTGAAAAAGACACTTGTTTTCTATAGGGGAAAGCCTCCTAAAGGAATCAAATCAAATTGGGTCATGCATGAATATCGCCTTGTTGATAACAATTCTTCTCTAACCAAGAAATGCTCTTTAAGGGTAAGGTAACTTTCTCATTTCAAAACCAAATAAAAGAGAGAAAAGAAAATGAAAAAGCATAGACTATTAAGTTGAAAGTAGAGTGTACGTAGACCTTACTATTGCCTTTAAGAAGGTAAATAGACTATTTCCGATAAACCATCGGCTCAGGAAGGAAAAAGGGAAGGGGCACAAATATAATGAAGGTCCTACCGGGATTTGAACCCGGGTCGTTGGATTCAAAGTCCAAAGTGCTAACCACTACACCATAGAACCTTGGACAACAAACTTATATACACAGTATAATTTTTCACGAAAGATGTTTAACTGTTAATCCATTGATGGTTGTAGCTCTGCCCTAGTTTCTCGATACCTAAAGTCTCAATAATTAATTTTTTTTTTGTCTTGGCTTATATTAATATAATTTCATGATGTTTTATTTATTTATTTTGTTTAGCTTGATGATTGGGTATTATGTCGGATTTACAAGAAAAACAGTTCAAGTACAATAATGGAAATGGACAAGGAGGATTCTATTGAGGAAACAACAGGTTCAACTTCAATATTGCCAGCTTCATCAATGAATTATTTCGAGCAAAATTCAAGTATAGGAACTTTAAGAGTAGGTTCCAATTTTGATGAATTTTTCGAAAATGACATAAAAATGGCGAAAAATGAATATGAAAATGGTGATGATACGCCATTAATGGAGGGAAATTCGAGTTCATTTCTTACAATGCTCAATCAAATTTCACCCAGAAGTTCACAGCTCAATTCTTGGTTCTCTGGCTACCGATAGAGTTATTTCTTCGTTAATCTGTCGCTAAATCGCTCGTAGATAATAGAATATTTGATAATCTGCCACTATTATTAGCAACGAATTTTATTGTTTAGCTACATAATTTGTCTGTCGCTAATTTCTATTTATTTAATAGTGTTTTTACCAATACATTAATTTTATTGAGAAGTTTTTTTCAATTGTTGAATTAAAGGATAATGGTGTTAAGGTCTATGGGAAAGAATACACTTGCCAGAAAAGGAAGTTATCTATTGCATAATATTACTCTTATTGTCGAAGTTTAATTATTTATTGTCGCATTTTAGTTATAATCAACTTAATTAACAGCACATGGCTTAGAGCTAAATTCTGTTTTTGTTTTGGACTTTGTTAATTTCAAGGTTTAGATATTGTCCTTAGTTGCAGTGGAGCTAAGATTTCAATTTTTTATGTTCTGAATTTTAGAACGACGACTTCAAGTGCTAATATTGGATTCTAAATTTAATATATATATAATGAATTTTTTTAAACACAAATACGATATTTGAGCAAAAGTTATCGAATTTAGTTGAATTTGCATACGGACTTTGAGCTCTGACCCATGGTCCTCAGCCATTGGCTATGTCCAAAATAATAGTAGTGCATGCTTTTATTACTTGGTGGAGAACCCCAATTCAAATCAAATTAGTTGTGGTTGAAGTATCGTACTCTCTTCAATCTCAAATGTTAGTCCTTTTACCAAATTGAATTTGCAAAATATTCAATGTTTTAAGAAAATAATTGTTTTATTTTCAAATCTATCCTCAGTATTCTTACTACTCTAATTATTGATTTTTTAAGACACAATTACGGCCCTTATTACTTGGCCTAACAGCCTAAACGAACATGGCCAAATTTGAAGCTCTTACCCTATTTAGCTCATGTTGTACATAACTTGAAAAAAAAAATTAGCCTTTAGCCTATTATTAAAGACACACTTTTAGGGTTTTTATTATTTTCTTCTTTCTTCATTCCTAGCACACCAAATTATCTCACACCGCCTCTCACTTCTTTCTTTCTAACCCACATAGATCCCTCATCCTCTCTTAACCTAGCCCCCGCTATTCGCCCTCCTCTACCCCTACACAGTTCTGCCATCAATAGCTCGAAGAAGGCTGGGGCTCCTACTCCATCGTCCATGGTAGCAAGCAGAAGAATATTGAAGATTTTTGAAAGAAAAATGAAAATACACACAGATCTGAAAATAAATAGCTGTCAAACTTGATTTGCACCAAAAAATAACCACTAATTTTGGAAGATTTTGAAGTTTGAAGTTCTGGTCATTATTATTATGACCTTGAAGTCTCGAATCTGAAATTGGGTTTGGATAAAAGTCATAATTATGTAGCAGTTTGTATCAATATTGTATACTAGTGTATAATTATGTATATGGATATACAAACACCTTTTATACATTATTATACGTGTTTATACAAGTTATACAATATTGTATAATTGTGTATAAATGTGTATATTTGTGTATAATATTGTATAATTATATATTTTTCAGTTTATAAGGATGTATATACATTGGTAGTGTCTAAGAGGCCTCTACGGAAGGTTGACACTTCCTTCTATTCTTCTTTTTCGTGTATGTGTTGTATGAGCGTTGGAGGGATTCTACAATTCATTTACCAAGTTTTTATTTTTCTTTTATCCTGGATTGCTTCAGCAACTGCACATAAAAGTGTTTGAATTTGTTGCCTTTAGATAATATGTATTATTTAGGATTTTTGAGTTGCCTTGTGGCTGATTTGCATTTTTTTTATCAAATGTTTAATAATCAAAGGAAATCAAGAGAATGAAAACAACTGCTTGTATAAAGAGAGAGCAATAACCGTAGTTGATTGTGTGAAATAAGTTGTCTTTCGGGAATTAGCCTAATATTTTTGGGCTATAGATTTGCAAAGTGGTATCTAGGCTATTATGTTGCAAGTCAGGTTTGTGAGTTGTATTTATGTGAAATTATTCCATTTTTTAATGAAGCAAGACTGTTATGAGAGAGATATAAGGATGTGCATAGGCAATAGTCAAGCTTATAATTAAAGTTATTGAATTGACGAGCTTTGGACGTATATGATTTTTCTGCTCGTACTCTGTTAAATTATAGTAATGTTTAAGATATCGTTCTACAGATATTAGAACCACCTAGACTATAAATTTGTATTGTCTTTGTCACTATTTGAGAGAATCAAATTGGTAAAGTGGGTTGTTCTTAAAAATATAGTAAAATAAAAGCAATAAATGTTTATAATTTTATACTAAAAAAATAAGGGTTGGGATATTGCGATTCAGCAAGATAAAAGTATTATAATATTTCTCTGTTTTAATAAAATGATCGCTTATTTCTAATTCAACCAAATCACATACAAGCATCCAATTAATAACACCTCTTTCGATTAATGTAGTTAATTGATTAACAATTAAACATAGACCTTGTTTAAAGAATGGCCACTTACTTTCTAAGACAATCACTCCACATAACAATAGTATATAAATAGTACCGCTCGCACTTAGTGTTATCAATTTATTGATAGTTAGTGACACTAAATAATAATTGACTAATAACACCTTTTCGATTAGTGTAAATAACTAATTGAAGTAGTGGCTTCAAACAAGAATTATCTTAGTTGAGTGCACCAAGTGGAAAAAAAAAACTCTTTCGATTAGCCTTTATTAAATCAATAAACTTGTTTAAATCTTTCTCTTCTCCCGAATAATAAACGAAATAACAAGATAAAGATTTTGGTAAGTGTATATAATTATATCTTATATCGAATAGTAAATATAATCAATATCAAATACCTTGGTGTATAAAGATGATAAAGAGAAAATCTCAACATAAGAAGGTAATAACATTAAGATAATTATTATAACACTTTTATTGCTTCATCTAGTATCCCAACCAAAGAAAATTACTCCATTATGAAAAAAAGATAAAAAAAAAAATACTATTCCTACAATAAAAGAAATAACTTTTAAAACAAAAACAATGCTAATTAAAGTTGGTATTCTCTGCACAAGAATGGTTCTCCCCCTTTCACTGAAAAGTAATGCTTATTTATTGGAAATTATGCCCGTAAAATTCTCAGGAATGTCATCCTTGGATTGGGGATGACATCCTAGCTCTTAAATCAATTTATTTCAGGTGCCTCAAAAGGTCATCACTTGTTTTAAAATAAAACTTTCGTGTTTTGAGGCCTTGAAAACCTCATTTAGAGTCACCTAGATTTACGTGCGTAGTCCGGGCGCGTAGACGAAAAGCTTAAATATGAAATTTAGTGAAAATGATAAGTTTTGACTGTAAAATGAATAAATTTGATTTCGGTCAACATTTTGGGTAAACGCACCCGGATCCATGATTTGACGGTCTCAGAGGGTCCATAGGAAAATATGGGACTTGGGCGTATGCCCGGAATCGAATTCCGAGGTCCCGAGCCCGAGAAATGAATTTTTAAAGGAAATTATTTTTTGAAAATTTTTAAGGAACTTTGAAATGAAGTTTGATTAGAAAGAGATGGTATCTGGCCCGTATTTTGGTTCTGGCGCCTGGTACAGGTCTTACATATGGTTTAAGTCATTTCTGTAAAGTTTGGTTGAAAACGGACGTCGTTTGACATGATTCGGACCTAAATTGCTAAATTTGATACTTGATGAAGTTTGAGAAAAAAATTCTTGATTTTGAGGTTTGATTCATTGTTATTGAGGTTATTTTGGCGATTTGATCGCACGGATAAGTTCGTATGATGTTGTTGAGTTATTACGTGTGTTTGGTTAGGGGCCCCGAGGGCTCGAGTGTGTTTCGGATGTGTTTCGACAAGTTTTGAACTTAAGAAAAAGTTGCAGATTCAGAGAGGTTGCAGGTCTCTGAAGCCAGGACCCACGGTCCGCGGTGCAAACATCGCGGCTGCGGTGGGGGTTCCGTGACCGCGGTGGGATTTGTGCGGTCCGTGGTGAGCAAGGCCAAGCCTCCGCGACAGCGCTCGATTTCTTGCGGTCCGCGATGGAGCTCTGCGGCCGCAGTCCTTTTTATGCGATCCATGGTGGAGCTCCACAGTCCTTTTTATGCGATCCGTGGTGGAGCTCCGCAGTCGTAATCCTTTTTATGCGGTCCGCGGAGAGGGTCTGAGAGGAGTATATTTAAACGGACTTTTCAATTATTTTTCACTTTTCAAAACACCAAAAACATAAGAGACAATTTTTCAAATAACCTTTCTTCTCCAAATCAATTGTAAGTCATTTTTAACTAATTTTCTTCAATCATTAACGTCTTTTAACATGATTTCAACTTCAAATCAATTATTTTCATGGGGGAAATTAGGTGTTTTGGGTAGAACTAGGTTTTCACAAAAATGGGGATTTGGACCTCGATTTGAGGTCCGATTTCAAAATAAATTACATATTTGAGCTCGCGGGGGAATGGGTAATCGGGTTTAGGTCCAAATTTCGGGTTTGGACCAAGTGGGCCCGGGGTCGATTTTTGACTTTTTTGGAAAATCTTTATAAAACCTATTTTCATGCATTANCGAGCGTTTGCTCAAGTTGTATAGCGAAATTGTGAAAGTATAAGTGACAATTGAACTTTTAGAGTATTGACTCGAGTTGTGAAATGAGTTGTGGAAATATAAGAGATAGTTGTACCTCTAGAGCATTGGCTCGAGTTGTGAAGTGAATTGTGAAGTAAAATTGAGAAAGAGAAGAGATCATTATGTTGTCACCCTTGCCGGGCTATTGTTGATTTATTTGTTGTTCCTTTGCCGGAATTTAATTGTTTAATTGTTGCTCCCTTGTCGGGATTTAATTGTTTAACTGTTGTTCCCTTGCCGGGATCTCTATTACATTTTTGTTTATTTCCTTACCCTATTGTTGTAATTATTGTTTGGGTGATGAAGAGAGTTAAAGCACGAAGGGTGATGCAGTGCATTGTTTGTTATTGTGAGGAAAGAGTGTAAAGCACGAAGGGTGATGACGTGTCGCACGATGTACCATTCTGTGCCGATTTTATTGATTATTTGGTGAGGAAAGAGAGTAAAAGCATGAAGGGTGATGCCATGCACATTTTTATTATATGATTGCTTTGGTGAGGACGAAAGTAAAAGCACGAAGGGTGATGCCGTGCATTGTTAATTTCTGATTCTTTGTTGATATCCGAGTTATATTG